TGAAGATGGCACACCATTTGTTGGATCGGGAACACTTGACGACGTTAGCCATTATCGTCTCTGCAACTTCTGCGCCGTCTTTCTCCTACACGCTCTCGCCCATCAAGCGCTCGTGGGTCGCGTTCGAGATACATCCTTCTTCTTCTCATCATCCTCTTCCGCATATTCATTGCCACTAAGCTCATCACAGTCCTTATCATCACAGTCCTTATCATCACAGTCCTTATCATCACAGTCCTTATCATCACAGTCATTATCATTTCGTCTTCTTCTGTTCGGACTGACAATTCTTCCCTTACCCTCACGCGCCAAGTGCGCCTGTGTCTCGTTCAAGGTCGGACATCGAACATCGTCCTTTTGCTCATCTTGTCAAATCTCTGCTCTCACTCTTCTATCTCGCCGTGCCCTAATCACAATCTCTGTTCTCTCTCTTCTATCCCGTCGTACTCTCATCACGAAGCTGTCCCATTCTTCTTCTCTGTTTCTTCTTCTTCTTCTTCATCATGCACGCCATTCTGGTGACGTCACCATCATCATCATCATCATGCACGCCATTCTGTTGACGTCACCATCATCATCATCATGCACGCCATTCTGTTGACGTCGCCATCATCATCATCATGCACGCCATTCTGTTGACGTCACCATCATCATCATCGTGCACGCCATTCTGGTGACGTCAATCCACGGTTCTATCGTGCTGTTAGGTCGACCGTTGTACACGTTGTTCGATTGACAGGTTGAGAGATCGAGACCTGTGGTACCGTGATGCTGATGAAAGGAGAGAGAGCTGATTAGATCTTTCGTAACCGCGGGCCTTGTTCCACTTGCTCGCGATAGTGAAAAAGCGAGAGAAGGTGCCAAAGATGCATTCGCCATTTTCACGCTGGGGAGTGGGGGAACGAGTGCCACAGTTCAATTCATGACAACATTTTAGAGAAGACGTGTGAATGTCTGAAAAAGGTGGGATGGTGTATAGGGAGGAGATCAGGGGGTGAGGCGAGGTGCTTCGTCCGCACTTGCCTTGGGCTGCCTTTTCGCATGATCATCTGCCTGCCTGATTAACTCCGTGGGTGTCTTTTTTTTTTTTCAGCCAGTAATGTCTGACGTGGCAGTCCATTTTACCTAGTACCTAGAGGAGCTGTTGCAGCCTCCCTAGGACAGGGTTGAAGAAACATGTACTCCTATCTTCTTTTCTCCACTTCTTTTCTCCACTTTTTCGGAGTTTTCCTTTAGTTAATGTAAGGTGCATTTACAAGTCTCCTCACATTTCTCTCTCTCTCTCTCTCTCTCTCTCTCTCTCTCTCTCTCTCTCTCTCTCTCTCCTGACATTGCGCCCATCCCCTCGCCCCTTGAGCTCCCGTGAAACATCGTGTTGTGTGTGTGTGTGTGAGAGAGAGAGAGAGAGAGAGAGAGAGAGAGAGAGAGAGAGAGAGAGAGAGAGAGAGAGAGAGAGAGAGAGAG